CTGTCCCTCAGCTCTTCAGCTCAAGGCTAGCACTCTACCACTTGAGCCACAGCGCCACTTCCGGCTTTTTTCTTTTTGCTTAGGTGGTGCTAAGGAATTGAACCCAGGGCCTCATGCATGCAAAGCAAGCACTGTACCACTGAGCCACCTTCCCAGCCCTGACCCTTAACAAAGCTTATCAGAGAAAGAAGGGAACACACCCAAATAAACATACTCAGAGATGAGAATGCTTTTTCTAGCTTTTAAAGGCTTAATTCCTTCTCTGCAGGTGGGACCTAGAATCTGCTTTAGAAAACCACCTAAATGGGGCTGGGAAGGTAGCTCAGTGGTAGAGTGCTTGCCTTGTATGCATGAGACTAGGTTTGATTCCTCAGTACCACATAAGCAGACAAAGTCAGAAGTGATGCTGTGGCTCAAGTGGTAGAGTGCTAGCCTTGAGCCGAAGAGCTGCGGGATACCCTCAGGCCCAGAGTTCAGGCCCCACAGGAAAGAAAGTAAAAAAGAAAGCCAACTAAACGATTGATACATGTGGCCTTGTATCAAGAAGGCCTTCTCAATAGAGTGAAGTGATTCAAACTCTCCTTTAGGTAATGACCATTTTGAAACTTAAGTTTGAACCTTCTCACACGTCATATCTTATAGCGCCATCAATTTTTTTAAAAATGACACTTGTACCTACTATGAGAGTGTTAACAATGCGGGGCTCAGATGGATTCTTTTTTTTATTTTTTTTTGGTCGTGGGGCCTGAACTCTGGGCCTCGGTGCTGTCCCTCAGCTCTTCAGCTCAAGGCTAGCACTCTACCACTTGAGCCACAGCGCCACTTCTGGCTTTTTTCTTATGTGGTGCTGAGGAATCGAACTCAGGGCCTCAGGCATGCATGGCAAGTGCTCTACCACTGAGCCACCTTCCCAGCCCTCAGATGGATTCTTGTAGAATTTTAACTCTATTAATTTCAAGGTTCTAAGCCAAGAAAAAAAAAACAGAAAGAAAAAAGAATTTAAACAAGAATGGGAGAGGGGCTGGGAAGATAGCTCAGTGGTAGAGCGCTTGCCTTGCATGCCTGAGGCCCTGGGTTCGATTCCTCAGCACCACATAAGCAAAATGAAAAGAGCCAGAAGTGGCGCTGTGGCTCAAGTGGTAGAGCGCTAGCCTTGAGCTGAAGAGCTGAGGGACAGCGCTCAGGCCCAGAGTTCAGGCCCCATGACTGGACCCCCCCCCAAAAAAAATGGGAGTGGTAGACATGACAGAGGCCTAAAAGGTAGAAAGAACCACTTCTTCTAGTGCACTACACCCCTCTCCAGCTACTTGGTTTATTTTGCATGTTGGTGCTCCTTGTATATAGTACATAGGCAAATCTTTCAGCATTTCTCTTTATACACTGCCATCAGAACTTGAGATTTTATTGATTCCCTTCTGTTGATCTACTTTGGCAGATAAAATTGAGACCAAAGTATCCCAACAATGAAGCATCATCATGAAAAGGCCCTGAGTACATCAGTTGTGACTTTTGGTGAGTGCCAGCCTCCCTGAGGCTTTTCCCACATCTGTGGGATGGGAGTGCTATTCATCGCCCAATCAGCTTGTGCCTATGAAGTATTATGTGTTGTGAATCATGGTTGTATAATGAATATCCCCTGAGGGGGAGTGTCTACAATAAAAAGAAGAGGGTAGAGCTGGGAAGGTGGCTTAGTGGTAAAAAAAAAAAAAAAAGAAAAGAAAAAGAAGAGGGTAGCAAATAGGAAGGAAACAGCCTTGTAACTTCCTACTCTATTATTACTGGTTCTCAAACTAGTCAACTAGAACCATCTTGAAAGCTTTAAAAATGTGATAAGGAAAATGTTGTGGTGCAAATCTAGTACTTGGGAGGCTGAAGCAAGAAGATTTTGAAGCCGGGCGCTGGTGGCTCACGCCTGTAATCCTAGCTACTCAGGCTGAGATCTGAGGATCGCGGTTCAAAGCCAGCCTGGGCAGGAGAGACCGTGAGACTCCTATCTCCAGTAAACCACCAGAAAACCGGAAGTGGCGCTGTAGCTCAAGTGGTAGAGCACTCGCCTTGAGCTGAAGAGCTGAGGGACAGCGCCCAGGCCCAGAGTTC